GGACACCGTCTGCGGTCCGATTCTGACCGTATTTCACGTGACCGCTCATTGCAACCGCATCACACGCAGGTCACATGGTGCAATGTATAGATTATCACTATGACACAGGGCTCCGCCTCCTGCTCCGCCATACCTGTGTGCAGGAAAAACAGAGAAGCTGAAAATGCCGATTTCCCGGATGTCTCTGGTTGGGGGGTCACTGAGATCAATGTGACACCCAGGGAGGCCTCCAATCCCCTACATGGACCCCCAGGAATGTGCAGGGACACTCCAGGGTCACCTCGGGGGTCACTCCAGGGTCACCTCGGGGGTCACTCCGGGGTAGTTCTGGGGTCACCCCAGGGTCTCTCTGGGGTCACTCCCGGGTCGCTTTGGGGTCACTCCGGGGTAGTTCTGGGGTCACTCCGGGTTTGCTCTGGGGTCACTCCAGGGTAGCTCTGGGGTCACTCCAGGGTCGCTCTGGGGTCACTCCAGGGTAGTTCTGGGGTCACTCCAGGGTAGTTCTGGGGTCTCTCCGAGGTGGTTCAGGGGTCACTCCAGGGTAGTTCTAGGGTCGCTCTGGGGTCACTCCAGGGTAGTTCTAGGGTCGCTCTGGGGTAACTTCAGGGTAGCTCTGGGGTCACCCCAGGACGCTCTGGGGTCACTCCAGGGTAGTTCTGGGGTAACTCCGGGTGCTCTGGGGTCACTCCAAGGTATCTGTGGGGTCACCCCCAGGGTCGCTCTGGGGTCACTCCAGGGTAGTTCTGGGGTCACTAAGGGGTAGTTCTGGGGTCACTCAGGGGTAGTTCTGGGGTCACTCCGGGGGAGTTCTGGGGTCACTCCAGGGTAGTTCTGGGGTCTCTCCGAGGTGGTTCAGGGGTCAATCAAAGGTAGCTGTGGGGTAGTTCTGGGGTCACTCCAGGGTCGCTCTGGGGTCACTCTAGGGTAGTTCTGGGGCCACTCCAGGGTAGCTCTGGGGTCACTGCAGGGTCGCTCTGGGGTCACTGCGGGGTCACTCCAGGGTAGTTCTGGGGTCACTAAGGGGTAGTTCTGGGGTCACTCCAGGGTAGTTCTGGGGTTACTCCGGGTTCGCTCTTGGGTCACTCTAGGGTAGTTCTGGGGTAACTCCGGTTTGCTCTGGGGTCACTCCAAGGTAGTTCTGGGGTCACTCCGGGGTAGTTCTGGGGTCTCTCCGAGGTGGTTCAGGGGTCACTCCAGGGTAGTTCTGGGGTAACTCCGGTTTGCTCTGGGGTCACTCCGGGGTAGTTCTGGGGTCACTCTGGGGTAGTTCTAAGGTCACTCCGGGTTCGCTCTGGGGTCAATCCAGGGTAGTTCTGGGGTCACTCAGGGGGTCTCCGATTCTCACATTTGGGGTCACTCCGGGTTGAGAAGATGGGACACATGTGATGACATCACGGATCGGCCTGCACACACATTTCATAGTCATACCAGAGCCGGGACAACCTTCAATACTCAATGATCATGGCCGCCATCTTGAAGGGGGGGAGGGGCTCCGGGGCCTGAGAAGACTGATCATGGCATCCTGGAGGTGGCAGGCTGGCTTCCGTCTGAGGCTTTACACACAGGTGCTCATCCTCAGGAATCAGATATTCATATCCCAGTGTGTGGATGGTGACGGGACAGCGTCCTCCTGTCATATGTGTCCCCCCTCCCCCATGTCATATATACATTATACAGAAACATTTCCTTCAATTGCAGTATTAGATGAGACAAGGTGCCAGGCACACAATGTACACACAGGGAGCCATGCAGAGGGACATTGTGGGGTCATGGTTAGTACTGCCTGGGGTCCCCAAACCCGCCCCCGCTGTGTCTGTGCCCCCGAAAGGGCGACTCCGCTCAGAACGGACAGTGAGATTTAGGCTGGACGGCGCCATCATCTCCTCTCCAGATTACAGGGAATGCAGCAAGTGGACTCCCCAGGTCGGGGGCGGAGCCTGAACCTCCAGACTGTAGGCGGAGCTCTGGCTCTGATTTGCCATTGCTGGAACCTCGTGGGCGTGGTGAAGACTTTGATTTCCATTTTCTTTTGTGAAACTTTTTTTAACATTTTAACTTTAAATTTCAATTTTGCGATAAAAATTTATTTTTCATTTT